GTTCTAATTTAAGGACCAATATTCTCAAATTAACACAAGTGATGCTATGTCAAATAATATGTTTGTACCATTTCAATGTTTTCTCAATTACAGGGAAAAACTCAATCACAAGCTCCTATCTCATCTGGGGTTACAAATGAACCATCTCAACAGCATTACCCTCATCAGTCATCACCTCACTCTGATAGGTCTGATCTATAACATTTTTCTTCAATAGATTGCTCACCACCACCGTCTGTCTCTCTTACTTCAAATTTTGATTCATCACCCACAATGCAACATGGTTTACCTGAAGGACCTATAGAAGTCTCACCTATAGCCCCTACTTCGATCCTCTCGCTAAATACAACCTCCTAAACATTTGTCTGACTACCAGGTTTACTCTGTAACTATTCCCTCTCCTAACTCCACCTCAAAACCCATAAGAACAAAACATCATATTGAAAATTTTACCTCAGGATAGAGATTGTCTTCAGCTCATAAGGCATTTGTAACACAAATTTCTCAAATTCAAGAACCAACCACCTATGAAAAAGCTGCCTCTAACATTGGGTGGCAAGTCTCAATGAAAGATGAGATAGACACACTCAAAAGGAATCATACTTGGGAATTAGTGTTATTACCTCCAGATAAAAATATTGTGGGCTCAAAATGAGTGTAAAAAGTTAAAGTCAGATCAAATGACGCAATCGAAAGGTTGAAATCCAGACTAGTGGCCAAGGGGTTTAGTCAAGAATATGGTATTGATTATGATGAAACTTTCAATCCAGCTCTGAAGGCATCCACTATTCGATGCATTCTGACCATATCATCTATGTTCAATTGGAAATTTCATCAACTTGATGTGAAAATACAGTTCTTCATGGTGATCTGAAAGAAGAAGTGTACGTGCAGCAACCTAAAGAATTTGAATATCCCTTATGGCCACACCATATTTGCAAACTAAAAAGGGCAATTTATGGACTCAAGCACGCTCATTGGGCATGGTTTGAGAAATTCAGTTGTCTACTTCATAGTATTGCTTTCAAAGGAGCAAGGTTGATTACTCCCTATTTAAGAAAAGATCATCCTCAGGTATTATCATCCTTCTAATTTATGTGGATGATATCATTGTTACTGGAAATGATATTAAGGGGATTGAATATATTAAGAAACATTGAAGCTCAACTTTGAGATGAAGGATATTAGAGAATTGAAATACTTTTTGGGTATTGAAATTCATCGGACAGAAAAAGGCATTGCTCTCACCCAACATAAGTATATTCTTGATTTACTTTCTAAAACCAAGATGTTGGGGTGCAAACCTATTTCCACCCCGGCTAAAGTGAATAGAAAGTTAAGGACTGAAGAAAATGAATTGTTACATAATCCTGCCTTGTACAAAAGTGTCGTTGGTAGGCTTCAATATCTCACATTTACACGGCTTGACATTACTTATGCAGTGAATACAATATGTCAATTCATGCAGACTCCTAGACAACCTCATTGGGAAGCCACCAAAAGAATGTTGAGGTATTTAAAGGGTACTATACATGATAGCATGTTCTATACTTCTTCTAGCTTACCTCATCTCAAAGAATATTCTAATGTTGATTGGGCAGAATGCCCTAATGATGGTCGGTCTATTACAGGATTTTGTATCTTATTGAGAAAGTGTTTAATTTTTTGGATTAGCAAAAGACATGCATCAGTATCAAAATCTAGTACAGAGTCAGAATATCGAGCAATGAGTATTGTAGCAGTAGAAATCACTTGGCTATGCATGCTTCTCAAACAAATTGGAGTTTCTACAATTAAGCCAACCATTCTAGCTTGTGATAACCAAAGTGCCATGCGAATAGCCACCAATCCTATCTTTCACGCTCGTACCAAACACATAGAAGTTTATTATCATTTCATTAGAGAGAAGGTAGTATCAGGTGATCTTTCCATGACATTCGTTCCTTCCTCTAATCAGATTACAGATATATTTACCAAGGCACTTACAAGATTAAAACACCATGAGTCCACAGAGAAGCTCTCAATGCACAAGATGCATGCTCGGCTTGAAAGGGGGTGTTAGAAAGAGACTGTCTTTTGGAATATTATATAGGGCTTTAGTCATTCTTTTATTATTTACCCTTAAAGATAAATATGTCCATTGTATATATAAATAGAGAAATGATCCAATAGGACCCTCCTCCACCCATGTGTGTAGGACATAAAAGATCATCATTAAATTTGATACTGATTTATAAAAAGGTCAAGTCTCACACTCATGTGATAACTTTTTTAGAGATTTGTGCCAACTTTAATGGTGATCATTTGGGGTCCTACACACATAAATGGAGAGGGTCCTATAGGATCATTAGTCATACAAATATATTATATATGTAAACAGAGGATGTATGAAATGAATCGTGGCGTTCTCTTCACTTTCTCTCTCTAGGGTTTCATAAGTTTAACAACCCATAGGGCGACGGCGGAGTCTAAGTAACCTCTGCCAAGTTTTAGAATGCTGGCTGCCATTGTTGACCAGCATGAGTTGATAATCTGAATAGGCAATTAGCTGCAAGGGTATGTGGCCTCCAGGAGGATTTGTATTGGCAATGCATGTTTTCTACAACAATTCCTACTTCGAATGCTTTGAATTCAGCCACATTTTTTGAAATAGAGCCAAATAGCGATATAAATAAAGCTATGACTCTTTCATTATGCCAGCCATATTGAAATCTTGCCTGCTCCTAATCTCCGACCCACCCTCATCTAGTGTCAATAATTTATTTACTAGTTCACTAGGTGAAGGCCATTATTCTTCCAGTGACCAGCCCAAAGGAAATTTCTCTGCAATCTCTCAAAGGTATGGCATGCAACAAAAAGGAAAGCCAGTAAATGGAAGATGTGCTCAGGACTCATTCCAGGAGGTCGAAAGAGCTTGCCAAAAGCCAAATTTTCCATAGTTTTCCCAATTAGGCTGTGGCAGTGTAAATCTTTCAGAACACCATGAAAGAGAGGTAACCCAAGATATTTCATTGGCAGCTCCCCTTCTTTGAAATGAAGTATGTCTACAATCCTTTATTTAGACCAGCATTAATCCTAAAGAATAAAATTTCCTGCCCTGTAGGATCACAAAAGGTGCCCGTGATTGCATGAATAATCTTCACTGCTTGTGTAGAGGCCTCATAAAAGATTAGTGCATCATCGACATCTAGCAGGTGTGTAACTCCATAATCACATTCCGAGAGGAATGCCTTAGGAGGGATCTATTGAGTACTGCTACATTTGATTGGCAGCTCGAGAAATCCATGACCAGCAGGAAGAGATACAGTGATAGGAGGTCATCCTATTGAAGACCTCCATTGCCCTTGAATAACCTTTAGGTGTACCATTGTATAAGATAGAGAAGCAAGGGGTGCATTGTCGGCATCTAGTAGGTCTGTAACTCTATATAATCATATCCCAAGGGGAATGCCTTAGAAGGGATACAAATAGTAGTGCTACATCTCATTGGCAGTTTGAGAAATCCATGACAAGCAGAAGATATACGCGGATAGGGGGTCATCCTGTTGAAGAACTCTACTGCCCTTGAAATAGCGTTTAAGTGTACCATTTTATAAGATAGAGAAGCAAGGGGTAGCGATTCAATGCGAAATTCAATTTATAAAAATTGAAGGGAATTCCAATGTAGGAAGCCTTCCAAAAATATTGTGCCAAGAGACCCAATAGTAAGTACTGCTTGAGTGAAGTTGTAAGCACATTTTCGGTCTTGCTGCTGAACTATGGCAAATAGATATCAGTTCATTAGCTTACCTTGTCTGTGAGAAGGTCTCCTTTTAAGGAAAGCAGCTTTGCATGGGTGGATCAAGTCAGTCAGGACCCTTCTCAGCCTGTTTGCAACAATGTTGCTGATTATCTTATAGAACACATTATATAGCCCGATGAGTTTTAAAATCTCTCATGTGGCTTGGAGATTTTGTTTTTGGGATCAAACAGATGAAAGTAAAATTAACCTCCTCAAGCAATTTTTCCTTCTTAAAGAAATCGTTCCAAGGCCAATAAAAGGTCCTTGCAAATGACATCACAGCTGAACTTGTAAATTTCCAAGCCCAAACGGCCAGGTGCAAGGGTGGTACTCTCACTTTTCATATCCCAAATAAATCATTTTATTTTGTCCAGCATAATTTCTTTCAAGAGTTTCTCCTTTTGTAGGTTTGTTATAGCGGTCTCCGGGAGATTATCGTGAGCTAACTGACCATAATCTCTCAAGTTATAGTCCTCTGGCAATAAGAACATCTGAAAAAGGAAATACTATGGTGCTCCAGGTATTAGAATAAGTTATTTGGTTACTAAGAAAATTTCCATGCAATATTTTAGGTACATGACCCTGTCTCGTCGATAGGTGAAAAATTTAGTGTTACCATCACCATCCGTCAACTAAGTTTTACTTGAGTTTTGCCTCCACATGCGCTCCTCTTGTAGCAGAAGTAGTTGCAGGTCTAAACTACAGGCCCTCTCTTCTTGTGAAAGTAAATTAGTCAAAGGGCCCAAATGGATTAGATCATGCAATTCCATAAGCCTTTAACCCGTGTGCTTCTAATGTTTTCACCAATGTGCCTGAAAGTTGATTTATTCCATCTGTTTGGATCAGCCCAAAGTCTCTTCAGCTTGGCCTCAAATCTATACATGGGAGTTCCACCAATCAATCTTGTCCATGAGCCGATGAAGTTTGGAAACATCTATCATGCCACAAAATATCTAAAGTTCGGGACCCAAAGTATGTAAAGATCAAGGTGAAACCATCAATGACAAGCACTAAGGCCCTAATTTTTAGGGCCGGGCCAAGCCGCCTACCCATTGCCAAACTTGTGTGATCCCAAAGATTCATTTGCACATATATTTTGAAAAAAAACAAAAACACACGTTAACAAAAAGAGAGAGCATGCAATAATTTTTTTCTTTAGTAGATCAGTGGGGAAGGGGTCCCTACCAATAGCATGGATGTAATTCAAGACATCATGTTGTAGAGAGCCCCGCAATACTAATTTTCAAATATTGGTAATGCAAGAAGAAATACATAAAGATCCAAAAGCAAGAAATTTTCATACAACCGTGATAAGAAAAGAAAAAAAAAAAATCCAGAAGCAACTCTAGAAAACTTCGGAATCCCAATGAGTACATGCATAATTCTCAATAAGAAAGAGAGGAGGAAAACAAGATATACAAGTTACTAGCCTTCTCACCCCACCATATTACATACACAATACCATTTGGTCCTAAAGCTTCTATCAAACCATGTTACCAGCTGATTTCAATCAGCAGGTCAGATGGGTCTCAGACTACAATACACCACGCTAGGCATGTGATAGTACCATCTTATAGCAATGCTTGCACGTTTGAAACTGTAGATCAGAGATAGCCAAGTGCCATGGAGCTAACCATGGTTCAGGAAGCTATATTCATAGTGCCAACCACGGTTAAAACCTTTAACCATGGTTCAGGAAAAAATACCTCTTGCGACCCTTCGAAACATGTCTTGCACCTGCGAGAAAATTCAGAGGTATCATCACTTAGGGATTTTAAATTCTGAATGCTCAGGCTCACATGATGTTATATGTGGTCATGAGGCTGTCGCCGTCCATTCGATGGGTTAGACTCTGAGCGAGAGAGTGTGTGGGAAGCACAAAAACATGAAATGATTTTGATGGTAGTGTTGGCTCCTCTCTCTATCACCGTGCAAACCACTAAACAAGTGGTGATCGCCCTCCTGCTTATGGTTATCACAGTATGCTTTCCCATTTAGCATGAGGGGATTTTTTGGAGGTCACAAATCTTGCAGGCCTTTAGATGTAAAATTGGGCAGTTGAGGATATATCACTGAATGGCCACAAAGTCCAGTAAAGTTCTTTAAACTTTGTGATACATTCTAAGCCATTGAGTTTCACAGCGTCATAATTGCCAAAGTTTTTTCCTTCATATCCAATGACTAATTTTGACTTCCTTGTACTAAAAGTAAATAGTATTATAGCTCATGATCCATTTTTTTCATTTGTCTTTTCTGCTTTATTGTGAAGGATTTCCCATTTGGGTGTGGTTTGCATAAGGTTGCAATTTTCATATCTAATTATAACATTTTGAACTCCAGAAATAATTCAAATAAAGTAGATGATCAATCATAGGATGCACTATTTTTTAGATTCGAATTTTTTTATATTCATACATCTCGATGTCGAGATGACCAATAAGAGGGCCTTTTCAACATTAAAACAGCCTTTTCCGATAGATTTTTGAGACGCACCATAAGGTTACAACCTCATATCAACTTTTTCCTTCCCAATTTATACGGCAATATCCGGAAAATATTTTATGGCATCAAGATTACCTGAAAGGCTTTCTTTTTGTCATATTTGCATATAGAACAAGTTTGGAAATTGGACCAATGGGTGAAAGTGCGTTGCATACTCTATTGTATTTTGTGAAAGTTTAATTAATGTTGTTTACTTTATTTATTTATTTTGTTAATTTCTCTTTTTCTGTGTAAATACTCCAAAAAAGTTATATTTAAGTTTGCTGTTGTAAACTTCCATATCAAATTTTAACTCAGTTTCAGATTTTTTTTTTTTTGAACTTTAATTTAACTCTGTTTAATTGCCTCTCCCTTAAGGCCAGTGTCATTGAAGGGGTAATTTGGAAATATAAAACTCATTTGTTTTAGGGCATTTTCGAAATGAGTTCTAACACTAGTGATATTTCTTCATCAACAGGTTATCAAACAAACCAAGAGTTCAGCGTTTCAATTTGTCTGGTCAAAAACCAGTACAACTTTGTGAAATGATTTTAAGTGTACCTGCTTAGAGGAAAGGCCTATCTTCTCCAGATCACAAAGCTGCAAAAACCCAAATAAAAAAAATTATAAAACTTCTCGGATGCAATATGTGTGTGTGAGAATGAGAGAGAGAGAGAGAGAGAGAGAGAAGAAAAAGAGAGAGAGATGTACCTCTTTGATTGGCTCTTGTGTTTCCTCTCTAACTCTCAGAATGTAATCTGCCCTCTTTTCTCCAATCCACTAACAATTTTCATCAAAAAAATCGTTTTATATATAAGATTAGGCAGCTGGGGGAAGCCTTAAAAATTAAAAATTCAGACAACTTCTGTTTTGGCACTGAAAGGTTACCTTCAGTTTCATAAGCTCGTCCCTGTGCATTTAAGTGACAAAAAAGGCCAATAAATTAGAAAATGACCTCTTATTCGAAAACAAAAATGAAGACTGAATTGGAAACGCTACTCGATTATCAAATATCCAAGCATGTGGATGTTTAATTGCAAATCAAGTCCCCTAAACAAATTAGTTAGGGAAAATAAAATTTATTCATAAAGCAACATTAGTGTTACCAGGGCTATGTCTAAATAATCCATGTTAAAGACCTACTGTAAATTTCTCAATGAATTGGGCCTCTTGAAATGTAAGCATCACTGTGTAGTGTGTTGGATTGGGTCTATGTAAACAAACTCAACGACATGCTATTGATTAGTGGATGTATTTATGCCAAATTTACCATGCTAATTACTTATGCTTCTCTGTTAGCTTTACATGCATGTTGACTTTACCATGAGATGTATGCGTGGGTGTATGTTTAATACTTCAATTTACAAAATTGATAAGTTCTACAAGTACAGGTTGTATTCTCAGTGTATTGTCACAGATTATGGATATTAACTCTTTTGTGTTTCCTAGACAAAAGTAAATGAGGAAAACTTTACATAACTGGAAAACGAAAAATCCGATTCCACTCATCAGTTTGAATTGATTCCAATCATGCGGGCAAAATATGAAACTAAATATTTAAATAATTTATGTGATTTATATATTGAGGTGCTTTATTGCTGCTGAACTAGTTAACCTAGTATGTTTGAAATGATAGATATGGGCATCAGTATACGTGTAACACACATGTGATGAAAGTATTTACATGTTCATGTTGTTTATGCAAATATGTGTTACTTAGCTCAATCTAGATGCCATCATGGAGTGTATGTATTCATATATGCATTCAATAATGAGTATATTGTTGTTACTTAAACCATCCATTGAAAAGCCAGCATATATGTGTGTGCACGTGTGCGAGCGTATGTGTCTGCATGGACAATTGTAGGTATTCTGAAGTGATATTTATGCAAGTGTGTGCAAAAAGTTGTTTCTCAGCTCATTTGAGATGCATAAGTAGACAACCCAGTAGCGCACATTGTCCCCCTGACTACAGATCTTGCTTTGCTGCTTTCTTAGTCCTAGTTCAAATCTGATAATCAAGGTATGAGGTGACTTATATCATCTCTTTGATTGTCACTTCAGGATGTAAACAACTCCAAACCTGCTGCAAACTATCTAAATACAACTCTAGCCTATTCTTTATCCAGTCAATAATTGTACCCTATGATGGAGAGAAAAGTGCAGATAATTGCACATGTTCTGTGATAAAAACAAGCACTTAATTGTGATCTTTGGAATCAAGGAATCAGGCCACTTGCACTCTGTGGCTCCAACCCCAAAGTATGCATGCAGTTATGCGCGAGTATCTATGCCTGTAATAAGCATTAATGCATGTGTACGAGTATCTATGGAGTTTTGGAGCTCATATGAACAGATCTATCTGCTTGTTTATATATAATTGCATGAACTTGAGCAGTATTTGAAGCATGAGCTCAAGGTAATGTGACTACATGAAACATGCTTTATAACATCACAAATGGTCTCTATGTTCCAATTTCAAAATGAGCTCGAAAATACATAACCCAAGGGATAAGCTTATGATGATCTAAAATGAATATTCTCATTTCCTCTAAAAGTATTTATCACCTGAAATTTATATGCTTATAAACATCATGGTGCAGATACAAGGAGTACAAAGAAACTTACTTGCGAGCAGTATTTAGAAACTGAATGTACTCTTGAACAAGTGAGTTCTGAAATCCAATAAAGCAATGAATAAGAATCCACCAAAAGTAGTAGCACTAAAACCTAAATCTAGTTTCATATCAGGGACAGCATACCATAATCATCAAACAGATAAGATATGGTACATGTTACTCAGAGGCTATTCCACTGTTTGTTCCCTCTAGTTTCCACTGTTTGTTCCCTCTAGTTTCATATCAGGGAAAATGCACCCCATTTAATCTCCAAACCACTATCAGTGCAAGAATGCAGTGATGTAGCCTAGGAGTCTTTTGCATTATGTCACCTGCATCTTAGTAAGGAAACTTCTAGCACTCGCTCTTGTTTTAGAGAAGAAACTCACCTTAATGCCCGAGCTCCTTTCATTGAACTTATCAAATGGAGTGCTATTACATAACTTCTCATCCTTGTCGTTAACCACATAGGTTGTATTTGGAGTCAAAGGCTCACTAATTGAATAATCTTCCCATGGATTTAAAGTTATATTGGAGCGGATGGGAGAAAGAGCATTTCTTGCTTGTTTTTGAGCTGTTTTGGACTTTGTGCTATTTGCTGGTGAGGATGATTTAAAGGTAATAGATGGAGTCATCACATTTTCCTCGTCTAAAATCTGGCCTGAAAAAAGAGAAGGAAACGATTGCAGATGATTTACATGTTAGTACTATCAAAGATAAACCTACCTACCTGCCCCTTTCAACCAATATTGTGTAATCTATTATTGAAAGTCTTAGATGTTATTTAGCATCTAGCACTAATACCTGTTAATGGCTTGAGCTGATTTAAGCAGCAAGTATGGCCCAGATCCTCTTTATGACCCTCATTGCATATTATCTACAAGTAAAGTCCCTTGGTTGCATTAATTGATAATCCAGAATTATAGAGAATTGAAATACTCGTGAGGAATTTTCAGTACCTCAACTTGTTTAGACTGCTCTTTGGCAGTTAAACCATAAAATGCAGAGTTTTCCTGCATAGAAGTCCATGAAAACATCACTTCAAATAGAAAAATATGTTCATTTGGGGATACTTGCCTATTTGGGTGGGTCGTTTGTGGGATTTGGTATGTCGCGTTACTTGAGATAATTATTGGTATCTCTAAAACTTAGTTATGGATGAATTTAATATGATGACATCATGGGTGGATTGGGCATTTTTACTGGAAATCTCAGGTATATTTGTACATGAAGAGCTCCATTGTAGTTTTCTATGGGGTTCATAATGTTATGAAAAAGAACAATAATAATGCAGAGATTTAGTGTATTGCACCTTATCCAAAGTGCACGATTCTGCAACTGGAGAAGCATTTGATATTGCAACCACCTGCATTGGTATCGCCAAAACAACCTTGAGCACCAAAAAAATTTTGTGCTACTAAATTTTTTTAAAATATATTCCATTAAAGTTGATCGCTGAAGAAAAAATAGAAGTAGTATTTTTCAAGCAGATTAACGCAATGTAACATCGTAAAACTTTATACAGTCTACTGAACAATCTGTACCTCATTTTGTAAAGTTGGCTCCTCGATAGTTAAATCGTGATGGGGGTAGCTCTCCTGCACAGATTTCTATGAAAAGTTACAAATTTAATACAAATAAATTCTTATTAGAGAATACCATGTGTAACTCTAGATACTCACTTTGGATGAGTCTATAACACAACCTTGAACATCAATTTTTTTTTGTGTGATAAAAACGTTTTAAATGCTGAAGAAAAATAAAACTAAAATTTTTCAAGCAGATTAATGCATGTAACATCATCAGATTTTTGTTATATCTATAGAGTCTTATGAACAACCTATACCTCATTTTGTAAGGATCGTTCTTTGGTAGTTAAATTGTGAAGGGAGTAGCTCTCCTGCACAAATTTTATGAAACAGCACAAATTTAATGCAAGTAAATGCTTATTTGGGAATACTATCTGCAACTCTAGAAACTAACCTTGGATGAATCTAGTACATTGAGATCATGGATGGAGTGGGTGTCTACCTTTTCTTTGTATTCGATATTCTTTTCAAAAGTTGCATCATGTGGAAAATTCAATTAATTGTACAAGAAAAATGCCATTCTAGTTCGCTATATGGGGCACATATTATTAAAAATAAATAAAATAAAATGAAGAAATTTAGTCTATTACACCTTAATCAATGCACACAATTCTCCAACTGCTAAAGGAATTGATAATGCAACCTCCTACATGGGTGTCGATAAATAAATATAAAAAATATGCCAATCATATTAAAAAAATCTTTAAAATTCTTCATTCATGATAATTAGAAAGAAAAAAGAAAAAGAGAAAATAAAAATTTATCAAGGGGAATCGCAATTTTTAGCTTCTTCAGATTTCGTTATATCTCTACCATGTGCTATTTTCAAAAAAGAAAGTTATTATGCTGTATGGAACTAAAATCTGTATAGATGTATATGTTTAAAAAGGTTCATTTTTATCATGACCATCTATATTAGTTTGCAATGCCGATGAACAATACAACCTCTTGCAACAAGAGATTGACACTTGGATATCAACAGAGTATCTTATATACCAAAAGGAAAATTTATCAAAATGAACTATTTAATATTTTACCCATATCTTTTGATTTAATTTCAAGAAACCCATCAAAATGCAGATAATCGTGAATTGGAATGGTTGAAAATTGGGTATCACAAAAACAACCTTGAACACCAAAATTTTTTCCATTGCTGAAAATTTTTTTTTAGATATATCACTTTCAAGTTGATCACTAAAGAGAAAATAGAACAAGAATTTTTAAGCAGATTAACGCAATGTAACATTATCAGATTTTTGTTATATCTATACAATCTGCTGAACAATCAGTACCTCATTTTGTAAGGATTGTTCTTCAGTAGTTAAATCATGAAGGAAGTAACTATCCTGCATAGATTTCTATGAAAACTACAAATTTTATACAAATAAATGCTTATTTTGGGATCTGTAACTCTAGTAACTAACACTAGATGAGTCTAGTACATTGACATCATGGATGGAATGGGCTACAAATTTTATACAAATAAATGCTTTTTTGGGATCTATAACTCTAGTAACTAACACTAGATGAGTCTAGTACATGGACATCATGGATAGAATAGGTGTCCATGGGTATCACCAAAACAACCTTCAATACCAAAAAAATTTCCATGCTATAAAAACTATTTAAATATATTACATTCAAGTTGATCACTGAAGAAAAAAATTATTAGAATTTTTCAAGCAGATTAATGCAATGTTAACATCATCAGTTTTTTGTTATATCTATACAGTCTGCAGAAAGATCTGTACCTCATTTTGCAAGGATGGTTCTTCGATAGTTATATCGTGAAGGGGGTAGCTCTCTAAAATTCTATGAAATATTACAAATTTAATACAAATAAATTTTTATTTGGGCAAACTATCTGCAATTCTAGAAACTGACCTTGGATGAGTCTAATACATTGACATCAGGGATGGAGTTGTCCACCTTTTCTATGTATTTCATATACTTTTCAAAAGTAGCATCCTGTGGAAAGTTCAATTAATTGTCCAAGACAAATGCCATTCCACTTCATTATACAGGACACATAATATTAAAAGTAAAATGAATAACTTTAGTCTATTGTACCTTATCCAATGCACACAATTCTCCAACTGCAGAAGCATTTGATAATGCAACCTCCTACATGAGTATTGATAAATAATCTTAAACATACAAAATTTGTCAATCGTATTCAAAATATATTTAAAATTCTTCATTCATGATAATTAGACAGAAAGAACAACAAGAGGGAATAAAAATTAATCAAGGGGAAGTTGATCCCTTCCATGTGCTATTTTTAAAAAAGAAGTTATTTTGTTATATGCAACTAAAATCTGTGTACATGTAAATGTTTAAAGAGGTTCATGTTATCATCTCCATCTATATCGATATTAGTTTCCCATACTGATGAACATTACAATCTCAACGATTGCAGCAAGAGATTGATACTTGACTATCAACAGTGTCCTGTTTACCAAAAGGGAAATTCATCAAAATGCACCAATTAGATGAACCATTTAATAATTTACCCATTTCTTTTGATTTATTTTAAGAATGCCATCAAATTGGCAGATGATCATGAGATGGAATAGATGAAAATGGGTAAAATGTGAAATAGCTGATAAGTAAGGTGTATTTTGATAAGTTTCCCATACCAAAAAGATGCCCATAACTCCATCATATTACCAAAGAAATATTTAAATTATGTATTCATGTTGATTAAACAAGAAATAATGGAATAAAATAATTTCCAATTAGCCTAACGAAACGTTTCATTACATCTCTACAATGTGCTAAAAAGTCGTTCAGTGATAAGTGCTGAATCAATATAATTATAAATGTTCAAATAGGTTCATACTATAAAGATAGTAGTTTTCAAGAATAAATAACATTCCAATCTCAGGGACTGCAACAAGAGACTTAACACTTACCTTCATAGCTGTGGTAATGGCACATTGTGAGTCAAATAGTTTCCTATGAAGAAAAACAAGATTAATCCATGTCAAGTTAAATTACCTAAAGATGCTGAACAGTTTTTCACTGATCAGCTCCAAAGAAAACTGATAAAAGTAATAATCTTCAAACATGGTCATAGTCATAGGAGCTTACCTTCCTTTCATACAAGACACTGCTTCACTGGTAGCCCTAGACTTGACAGAGGACCGAGAATTACTGAAACCCCTCACAGAGCCAAGAGGAGTCTGAGCTTTTCGCAGAACTGGGGAGAAAATTGATCTATGTTTTTGTGAACTATGGGTCAAGGTCTTGCCTTTAGCTTCAAGCCAAGCTCGAAGCCTTTCCTCCATATCAACTATGGGCCTTGGAGTGTCTTGCCTCCCATCTGATGGAGCATAGTTAACAATCTGTCGAGAGCGAGCAGCTAAGCTAACAGTGTGAACAGCTTCTTGGTATGCTGATGGATTCTACGTAAAACAAAAATCCATAGTATTAATGAATATATCCACCATGTTTTATTCAATAAGGAATTCTGTTATATGACCATAAAAACTAAGGTATAGTAGGATTCAAATGCCACTATCAACTCAATTGGTCATAAGATTCATCATTATTGACTCGATGGGAAAATAATGGATGCACAATTGAATTACATAACATGTTTGGGAACTCACCCTCTGTTCAAACCCTGTCTTACTTATTAATGGGATGATGCTAACCTTGTGACTATGCTCTTACAAGGACCATATGGATCGTCTATACTTTCCCTCCAAAAAAAAAAAAAAGCTGACAAAGTACTGAAAAGAAATTTGCATTGATCCTATTTCCTTGTGGTCTATACTTAAAAAACAAAAAGGAAAGAAATAAAATACAGTCACTCAAGAACTATAATGTATAATAGGAAAAAATAAATTCAAAAAATAGGAACTCCCCAAATGAAGAAACACTCACCAAACAGGCGATCATTACAGCCCGGCTTCCTCTGCCAAGAGAATCTTGTAAAATTCGGGTCAATTTACTCTCTCTGTAAGGGACCCGTGGCTCATTGCAATTCAAGGCATATATCACATTTGACAAAGCAAAGAGTGACTTGTTAATTTTCGAGCTTTCCTGAAGACGGATCCCTTCATTACATGTTCTTCTGTTATCCTCATTACCTGGGTAGAAACAAACAAAAATCAAATAAAGAAAAAGAATAAAACAAAAACAAAAACAAATAAAAAATAGGAAAGTGTATGATAATTGGGAGGGCTATGAAACCCAAAGTTGATTGGTGTCATCACCATCCAATGAAATGACCGTAATGGTTGAGAGAGATTGGGAACTTCCACTGGGGTTTGGTAGGTCCATCCATTTGTCCATATCATTTCATTTGACAGTAAGGACCTCAATAGACAATGATTTTTCAAAGCTAACCATATTATTCTTTCAAACACCAGCCAAGAACCCTTATACTAAAAAAAGAAATGAAAGGCACCCTTAATGACAAGAGAGAGAGATACTTCTTTTCAAAAAAAATTAATTCCCAGGGATGGGGAAGTGAAAACCTGCCAAGTCTATGAGATTCAGCTTTCCCACTATAGGAATTCCAGAACCTTTATCAAAGGCAGTAATAGACAGCATCAGAACCCCATGGCTTCTACTCGACACATCATTCAGACCAGTATGCCCAACCTTTCTTCTTTGAACGCCATTAGCAAATATTTCACTAAACTCCTCCATGGAATTTACTGGAACCTGAGAGGCACACAAAGAAGCACTGAAAGAAAAAAAAAAAAGAAAAAAAAAAAATAATATATATATATATATAAGGATGGGATTAGCCCACTCGCCGATCCCATTGACTCAAAGCACTTGTTTGGATGCCCAAGATGGAATCAGCTGTTGCCCAACGCTTTTCCCATTCAAACTAGCAGCCATTTAATGGCGTAGCCTGACATCGGTACAATGTTACTGACACCCTAACCTATTCAAAAACTCTCTCCTCTCCTCTATTTAATAACTCCCATCTTTTTCCCATTCCTCAGGTTTAACTCCTTCACGATTTAATAACTCCCATCTTTTTTTCTCTCCCCTCAGTTTTAACTCCTCTTCCTCTTTTGTTTGGTTCCCATCTTTTTCTCTCCTCTCCTCGATTTAATAAGTCCCATCTTTCTCTCTGTCATCGAATTGGTTCCCCTCTTCTCTCATCTCTATCTCCTCTCCCTGTTAGCGATTCCCATCTTTCTCTCCCCTCTCTCTCTTCAGTTTGGTTTCTCCCCTCTCTCTATCCTCAGTTAAACCCCCTATTCTCTCTCTCTTCGGTTTGGTTTCTCCCCTCTATCTCTATCCTCATTTAAACTCTCCCCCCCCTCTCTCTATCTATCTCTCGTAGTTTAACTCCCCCCTTTCTTTCCCAAATCTCCCATCGCTCACCTAGTTGGCCTCCCACCAGCTGCTGTGAAGCTCTCTCTCTCAAGGTATGCTCTCTCTCTCCATCTCTTTGTCACAATCATTCTCTCTCTCTCTCAGATTCTCTCCCAAATGTCCCATCTCTTATCTGAGTGGCCTCTCTGCGTCGCTCTCGTAAATCCCTCGTTTGTCTCCCATCTCTCACTCTTGATCTCTCTCTCAGATTCTCTCCCAAACCAAACTCTCTCCCTCTCTCTCTCTCGATGGTAGAGGCTTTGATGGAAAAAATATGGGTCTTCTGGATGTTGAGATTAGAATTTTGAGAGAGGATAAATCTGTAGAATAAACATGTGCTCTGATATGTTTGTTTTCATAGAGTGCAATACATCTGTAGAATAAATCAGTGATGCTAATGAACTGTAGAATACATTGTGTCATATTTTTTATTTCCTCTCTCTTTAGAGTGGGGACAAATCTATCTTTCAAAATTTCTGGAGTTTGAACATTCTAGAAACCAAATATGTCATTATGAAGCTCGATGATCCATTGTTTTTTCTTGTTATAAAAATTTTGAAATTCACAATATATTACTTACATATTTAGAAGCAATTTCATATATTAAAAAATTGAACGAAAATCTTAGAGTTGCAGTGAAGAAAAATATCGATGGAGGATGTCAGATGTTACGTTTAGGAGTAAAGACAGTCTCCTATATCCTCCTATTGTCGTATAGACAATATCTTAGTTAGTAGTTATCTCTTATACGAGAAATTCATGGAATCTACACCAAATCAGTTGAAATTGATTGAATCTACACTAAATTTGTTGTGTTGGTTTACTAGTATTCACTGGTATGTATTTATTGGTTCACTCGATATGTATTTATTGGTTTTTCTAGAAGTTTAATGGTAGAATTGATCTAGTATAAGCTGTCAATATGTGTTCTACATGTTAAATTTAATAGAAAAATATAAAACAAAGAAAATTAGGAGATGGTTGGTATGTCAAGGCTGCTTGGATAATTTGTAAATGGTGTCTTAGAAGCCCATAGGATCTTGTATCTAAAACTCCATGAACATAATGTTATTTCTGAATCTCCTTTCTTCTTGGATTGCTTGAGATGTAACATATAAGAATGAAATCAGTATGAGAAATATATTTTTTTTAGGTTAAAACAAAAAAATGGATTGTTGAATGGTTGTGATGAAGTTCTTCATATTTTCGTTGTGACTTCTTTATATAATGAATCTCGACAACCAATTCCCTTCAATGATTTTTAAACGCAAACCAGGATGTGGTCAGATACGTGTATTTTTATCAAAGACACACGATAACTACAATAGGCCTTTTTATAAATGCTCTGACTGGAAGATATGTAATATTCATTCATTAACATAATGTAAAAGCATATTGGTGTTTATTTGTAAGCATATACCTAACACACTTTTATCTTATCGTGTTAACCACTAAAATGAGACTAGATATGACTATCGTGTTAACCACTAAAATGAGACTAGATATGGCTATCTAGCATGGTGTGATGAGATTCTAGGTCAAAATAGGAAGCATGTGGTTAGAAGATTCATGTCTCAGAGGCTAGATGGTTGTGTTGCTGATGGAGTAGATGCAGCTTTGTCTAAAAATGAGAAGCACAAATCTATTGCTGTGGTCCCTGAGAAAGCAGACGTTCTAAAAGTTACTCTCATATCATATGTGTAGTTTTATTTATGATGTTGATGTCAGTCCTCCTTTTTTTTTGTAAAAGGAATGATTTTGTTGGGACATAGAGCTAGACAGCTGCTTTCTTAGGGAGGGCAAACATCGATAGGATAAATAAAATTACACATATGAGAGTAACTTTTAAAACGACTGCTTTCTCAAGGACCATAGCAATAGATTTGTGCTTCTCTTTTTCAAATGGAGCTGCATCTACTATATCAGTAACACAAGCATCTAGCCTCTAAGACACGAACCTAGTAACACAAGCATTTAGCTTTTAAGACATGAGCCTTTTAAATCGAAGCTTCCTATCTTGACCTAGACACGAGCCTTTTAAATCGAAGCTTCCTATCTTGACCTAGAATATCATCACACCAAGCTAGATAGCCACATCCAATCTCATTCTAGTGGTTAACACCATAAGATAAAGTATATTAGCTATATGCTTACAAATGAACACCAATATGCTTCTACATTATGTTAATGAATATTACATACCTTTCAGTTAAAGCATTTATAGAAAGGCCTATTATAGTTATCCTGTGTTTTTTATAATAACACATGCATACGACCACATACTGGTTTGCGTTTACAAATCATTGGAGGGAATTGGTTGCGAGATCCATTCTATAAAGAAGTCACAACGAAAATATGAAGAACTTCATCATAGTCATTTCAACAATCAATTTTTTTGTCTCAACCCAAAAGAAATATATTTAATACTGATTTCATTCTTGTATGTTTCATCTCAAGCAATCCAAAAAGAAAGGAGATTCAAAAATGACATCTTGTTCATGGCGTTCTAGATACAAGATCATATGAGCTTCTAAGACACCATTTACAATTATCAAAGTAGCCTTGACATACCAACCATCTCATAATTTTCTTTGTTGTATATTTTCTATTAAATTTAACATGTAGGACACATATTGGCAGCTTATACTATTTATGCAGTAGATCAATTCTACCATGAAACTTCTAGAAAAACCAATAAATACCAATAAATACATATTGAGTGAACCAATAAATACATACCAATGAATACCAGTAAACCCACACAGTAAATTTGGTGTGGATTCAATCAATCTCAACTGATTTGGTGTAGATTCTGTAAATTTCTTGTGTAAGAGATAATTACTAACTAAGCAATTGTCTATAAGATAATAGGAGGATATAGGAGACTGTCTTTACTCTTAAACGTAACATCGGACATCCTCCATCGATATTTTGCCTCACTGCAACTGGAAGATTTTCGTTCAATTTGATATATCAAATTGCTTCTAAATATGTAAGTAATATATTTCAACTTTCAAAATTTTTACAACAAAAAACAATGGATCATCAAATTTCAGACTGACAGATTTGTTTTCTTGAATGTTCAAACTCCGGAAATTTTGAAAGAGAGACTTGTCCCCGAAATAAAAAATGTCACAATGCAACATATGTGTTCTACAGTTCATTAACATCACTGATTTATTCTACAGTTGTATTCTACTCTATGAAAATAAATATAACAGAGCACAAGTTTACTCTAAGGATTTATCCTATCTCTAAATTCTAATCTCAACATCTAGAACACCCATTTTTTTCCATCAAAGCCTTTACCATCGCGAGAGAGAAAGAGAGTTTGGTTTGGAAGAGAATCTGTGTGTGTGTGTGAGAGAGAGAGAGAGAGAGAGATCAAGAAGAGTGAGAAATGGGAGAAATCAAGGATCTGCGAGAGAGACGCAGAGAAGCCAACTAGATGAGTGATGGGAGAGAATTTGAGAGAGAGAGATGAAGAGTGAGAGATCTAGAGAGTTATTATGACAAAGAGATGGAGAGAGAGAGAGAGCTTCGCAATAGCTATTGGGAGGCCAACCACATGAGCGATGGGAGATTTGGGAGAGAGGGGAGAGTTAAACTAAGGGACATAGAGAGAGAGGGAGGAGTTAAATTGAGGATAGAGAGAGAGAAGGGAGAAACCAAATCGAAGAGAGAGAAAGGGGGGTTAAACCGAGACAGAGAGAGAGGGGAGCAACTAAATTGAAGAGAGAAAAGAGAGAGAAAGATGGGAATTGTTAACCAGGGAGAGAGATAGAGATGAGAGAAGAGGAGAACCAAACTGAGAAGAGAGAAAGATGGGAGTTGTTAAATTGAGGAACGAACAAAAAGAAAAAGATGGAAACCAAAACAAAAAGCGAGAGAGAGGGGAGAGACCAGATCGATGGGAGAGAGAGAGAAAGATGAGAGTTGTTAAATTGAGGAGAGGAGAGAGAGAGAGAAAGATGAGAATCAAACCGAAGAGAGAGATAGAGAGGGGAGTTAAATTCGAGGAGAGAGAAAGATGGGAGTTGTTAATCAAGGAGAGGAGAGAGAGAGTTTTTGAATGGGATCAAGGTGTCAGCACCATTGTATCGCTATCAGGCTACCCCATTAAATGGTCGTTAGTTTGAATGGGAAAAGCGTTGGGCATCAGTTGATTCCATCTTGGCCATCCAAACTAGCGCCCTCAATCAGAGTCGTTGGGCACATATGAATGGGATAGGCGAGTGGGCTAATTCCATCCTTTTTCATATATATATATGGAAAAGACTACAAAACGCCTATGGGCGAAAGTGAATAGCATTTTCGCCCATAGGCTCGACGTCGTCCTATTTTTTTGGACGGCGTGGATTAAAAGACTGCAACGTATATAGTGGGTCTGTTGCAGTAAAAAACACATAGAAACCGCCACAGACCATGTACCGTCCGTTGCGGCTCCGTTCAATAAACCGCCACGGACATAGCATGTCTATGGCGGGGCAAAAAACTATTCAAAATCACCTATCATA